TCACTGTATCCCTCTGCCAGTAAAGCCAGAATTGAACCCTGCTTTTCCTCACTCAAAACTTTCCTTTTCAACTCTTTTGGCATGGTCAATAGTTATTTCTTGATCAATATTATTGAGGTACTATTAGCACTGTTTTTGCCATCCAGCTGGTCCTATTGCAAGAGGATAGTGATGACCACAGCAGTGGTTTTTATACTTTTCCTCGTTAAATAAGATTTGGTTCAGGTGATCACCTAATTCAGTAGAATGAGGTGTGCCTGTGTTGGAATTCAACAGACACTGGAATGGAATGGCTGTCATACATGTAGAGATGCTGATTTAAGGAAAATGTGCAGTGGTCTCAATTTTTTCCAGAGCTGTACACACACACACATACATACACATATAAATACACACACATATACTATTTTGTTGCCTTACAACCTGGAATTTAAATAGATTTTTGGGGGGTTTGTATCATTTGATTTACACAACATGCCTACCACTTTGAAGATGCAAAATAATTTTTGGGGTGAAACAAACAAGAAATAAGACAAAAAAACAGAACTTGAGCGTGCATAACTATTCACCCCCCCAAAGTCAATACTTTGTAGAGCCACCTTTCGCAGCAATTACAGCTGTAAATCTCTTGGGTATGTCTCTATAAGCTTGGCACATCTAGCCACTGGGATTTTTTCCCCATTCTTCAAGGCAAAACTGCTCCAGCTCCTTCAAGTTGGACGGGTTCCGCTGGTGTACAGCAATCTTTAAGTCATACCACAGATTCTCAGTTGGATTGAGGTCTGGGCTTTGACTAGGCCATTCCAAGACATTTAAATGTTTTGCCTTAAACCACTCGAGTGTTGCTTTAGCAGTATGTTTGTGGGTCATTGTCCTGCTGGAAGGTGAACCTCCGTCCCAGTCTCAAATCTCTGGAAGAACAGGTTTCCCTCAAGAATTTCCCTGTATTTAGTGCCATCCATCATTCCTTCAATTCTGACCAGTTTCCCAGTCCCTGCCGCTGAAAAACATCCCCACAGCATGATGCTGCCACCAACATGCTTCACTGTGGGGATGGTGTTCTCGGGGTGATGAGAGGTGTTGGGTTTGCGCCAGACATAGCGTTTTCCTTGATGGCCAAAAAGCTCAATTTTAGTCTCATCTGACCAGAGTATCGTCTTCCAAATGTTTGGGGAGTCTCCCACATGCGTTTTGGCGAACACCAAACGTGTTTGCTTATTTCTTTCTTTAAGCAAATGGCTTTTTTCTGGACTTTATTTAACTAATTATGTGACTTCTGAAGGTAATTGGTTGCACCAGATCTTATTTAGGGGCTTCATAGCAAAGGGGGTGAATACATATGCACGCACCACTTTTCAGTTATTAATTTTTTAGATTTTTTTTGAAACAAGTAATTTTTTTCATTTCACTTCACCAATTTGGACTATTTTGTGTATGTCCATTACATTAAATCCAAATAAAAATCCATTTAAAATACAGGTTGTAATGCAAAAAAATAGGAAAAACGCCAAGGGGGATGAATACTTTTGCAAGGCTCTGTATATATATATATATATATATATATACACACACATACACATATACACATATACATATATATATATATACATACATACATACATACATACATACATACATACACACACACACACTGCAAGGAGGCATGAGGACTGCAGATGTGGCCAGGGCAATAAATTGCAACGTCCGTACTGTGAGACACCTAAGACAGCGCTACAGCGAGACAGGACGGACAGCTGATCGTCCTCGCAGTGGCAGACCACGTGTAACAACACCTGCACAGGATCGGTACATCCGAACATTACACCTGCGGGACAGGTACAGGATGGCAACAACAACTGCCCAAGTTACACCAGGAACGCACAATCCCTCCATTAGTGCTCAGACTGTCTGCAATAGGCTGAGAGAGGCCGGACTGAGGGCTTGTAGGCCTGTTGTAAGGCAGGTCCTCACCAGACATCACTGGCAACAACGTTGCCTATGGGCACAAACCCACCGTCGCTGGCCCAGACAGGACTGGCAAAAAGTGCTCTTCACTGACGAGTCGCGGTTTTGTCTCACCAGGGGTGATGGTCGGAGTCGCGTTTATCGTCGAAGGAATGAGCGTTACACCGAGGCCTGTACTCTGGAGCGGGATCGATTTGGAGGTGGATGGTCCGTCATGGTCTGTGGCGGTGTGTCACAGCATCATCGTACTGAGCTTGTCGTCATTGCAGGCAATCTCAACACTGTGCGTTACAGGGAAGACATCCTCCTCCCTCATGTGGTACCCTTCCTGCAGGCTCATCCTGACATGACCCTCCAGCATGACAATGCCACCAGCCATACTGCTCGTTCTGTGCGTGATTTCCTGCAAGACAGGAATGTCAGTGTTCTTCCATGGCCAGCGAAGAGCCCGGATCTCAATCCCATTGAGCACATCTGGGACCTGTTGGATCAGAGGGTGAGGGCTAGGGCCATTCCCCCCAGAAATGTCTGGGAACTTGCAGGTGCCTTGGTGGAAGAGTGGGGTGTAGCTCAGCTGGTAGAGCACGGCGCTTGTAACGCCAATGTAGTGGGTTCGATCCCTGGGACCACCCATACACAAAAATGTATGCACGCATGACTGTAAGTCACTTTTGATAAAAGTGTCTGCTAAATGGCATATTATTATTATTATTATTATTATTATTATTATTATATCTCACAGCAAGAACTGGCAAATCTGGTGCAGTCCATGAGGAGGAGATGTACTGCAGTACTTAATGCAGCTGGTGGCCACACCAGATACTGACTGTTACTTTTGATTTTGACACCCCCTTTGTTCAGGTACACATTATTCCATTTCTGTCTGTGGAACTTGTTCAGTTTATGTCTCAGTTGTTGAATCTTGTGATGTTCATACAAATATTTACACATGCTTAGTTTGCTGCAAATAAATGCAGTTGACAGTGAGAGGACGTTTCTTTTTTTGCTGAGTTTATACACACACACACACATCCTTTAAAAATATATATTTCCCTTTATTACTTTCCAACCCCACAGTCCATCATTACTTTAAGACATTAAGGTCAGTCAATCCAGAAAATGTCAAGAACTTTGAAAATGTCTTCAAGTGCAGACGCAAAAACCATCAAGCGCTATGATGAAACTGGCTCTCATGAGGACCGCCACAGGAAAGGAAGACCCAGAGTTACCTCTGCTGCAGAGGATAAGTTCATTAGAGCTAACCGCACCTCAGATTTCATCACAAATAAATGCTTCACAGAGTTCAAGTACCAGACACATCTCAACAGCAACTTTTCGGAGGAGACTGCGTGAATCAGGTCTTCATAGTCGAATTGCTGCAAAGAAACCACTACTAAAGGACCCCAATAAGAAGAAGAGACTTGCTTCGGCCAAGAAACACAAGCAATGGACATTAGACATGTGGAAATCTATCCTTTGGTCTGATGAGTCCAAATTTGAGATTTTTGGTTCCAACTGGCGTGAGACGCAGAGTAGGTGAATGGATGATCTCCGCATGTGTGGTTCCCACCGTGAAGCACGGAGGAGAAGGTGTGATGGTGTGGGGTGCTTTGCTGGTGACACGGTCTGTGATTTATTTAGAATTCAAGGCATACTTAACCAGCATGGCTACCATAGCGATACACCATCCCATCTGGTTTGCGCTTAGTGGACCTATCATTTGTTTTTGAAAAGGACAATGACCCAACACACCTCCAGGCTATGAAGGGCTATTTGACCAAGAAGGAGAATGATGGAGTGCTGCATCAGATGACCTGGCCTCCACAATCACCCGACCTCAACCCAATTGAGATGGTTTGGGATGAGTTGGACCGCAGAGTGAAGGAAAAGCAGTCAACGAGTGCTCAGCATATGTGGGAACTCCTTCAAGACTGTTGGAAAAGCATTCCAGGTGAAGCTGGTTGAGAGAATGGCAAGAGTGTGCAAAGCTGTCATCAAGGCAAAGGGTAGCTATTTGAAGAATCTCAAATATAAAATATATTATGATTTGTTTAACACTTTTTTGGTTACTACATGATTCCATATTTGTTATTTCATAGTTTTGATGTCTTCCCTATTATTCTATAATGTAGAAAATAGTAAAAATAAAGAAAAACCCTGGAATTAGTAGGTGTGTCCAAACCTTTGACTGGTACTGTATGTAAATAAGGTATTTCTGTTTATAATACATTTGCTAAATTTCTAAAAACCTGTTTTTCGCTTTTTTATTATGGGTTAGTGTGTGTAGATTGATGAGGAATTTATTTGATTTTATCCATTTTAGAATAAGGCTGTAATGTAACAAAATGTGGAAAAAGTCAAGGGGTCTGAAAACTTTATGAATTCACTGTATCTAGCTGTCCGTTAACACATTCTGATTGAATGGCTTTTCCTGCACTTTGTAAAAACCCGGAGTGCATGTTGGAAAAAAGGTCTTGGTTCCTTTCTAAACATAGCAATGTGAATGCAAAGAGGACTCGGCCCACAAAATAGGTGAAGTGAACTGGCAAAAGAGTCAAGTCCTCATTCAAATGCAAGGGCAGTGTGAATACAAAGAGAACTGTTATTTTGCTTATTTTTTACCCCAGAGTTCACTTTAAAGAGGACTGAGATCGGTTATTTTAAAGATGACTATATGTGAAAACACCCATAGCCTGGGGCTAAGGATAGCCCAGGGCTAAGAACAATGCAGCGTGAAAAGTCCTCAAGAGTCAAATGTCTACTCTGCCTCACATTTATCCTTTCTCTCAGGAGCTCACATTTCTGAGAAACCCACCCCAACACCCCTCGCACTTTCCTTTTTTTGGGACCTAAATTGAATCTCCAAGCATTGGCCTCAAATTAAGCCTGAGTTTAGCTGCCATGTACGAGACTCATTGGCCAGAGCAGTGTATCTCATAACTTTACTGTGGCCATGGAGACTGGGATTTGCACAGTAACTAATAGTGTGAAGGTTGTTGAGTTATTCAGGAGTGAATCTACGCCCATCATCAATTTTAGTAAAGATTAAACAGACCGGTTTTATCCTTACCTAAAATTCTCTCCATCTCCTCACATCTTTTTATCTCAGTGACAAACTTCCGCTGGAATAGATTTACGCTGGGGTTGAGCTGAAACAGTAGGAGCAGAGCCACATTGTTACTTTCACCACAAACACACACACCTGTCCGAGCAGATTGACTGGATTTTGCAAATTATCGCCGACATTCCACATTATCCTCTACAGCAGTGGTCACCAACTGGTCGATCGCGATCGACTGGTCGTTCTCCAAGGCATTTCTAGTCGATCACCAAACATTTCTGTAAAAAACCCAACTATAAAGCATTTTGCGTTCCTATAGGCCTACCACTGGCCAATCAGATAGCTCAGATCACTGTGTCTGCAGTTTCCTCAAGCTATAGACTGTAAATAGAAGCCTCGAACACACAACAAAGTTGATACTGTGAGATTTCAAAACCATGACTAGAGACTCAACTAATACAGCAAAGAGCTAATGTTTTTATGTGTAAGTTCATGTTTGAATTGTTATTCAGCTCTGTCAACACTTTGTTCAACACCTTTATAAGCCACCAGCACTGCAGCTGCAATGAATGAGTATAGCAAAGTGTTCTGATAAGCTTGCGTTGTTATTATTAGCGGCTTGTATATATATTTTTATATCAAGGAATATTTCACTTTCTCTGGTCATAGGAGTAACAACATCAGCTGGAAGACTGTGTCCCCTTTTCTCAGCGGAGGGAAGGAGGGCGGCGGGACAGTGAGTCAGTGAGTCGGGTTAGAGAGCCTCATGCTGCTCCCTCCCCTCAGACTGACCATCAGATGCAGGCCATCAGTCCAGTAAAAAATATATATATATTATTGCTCACTTAGCTGTGCATCACAAGTAATATAACAAATGATCTATTACCAGTGTGATCATATACCTCAATTGTTTAAATATAATTTTAAAATGATCTGAGAAGAACAACATTGGCAGTGCAATTCAAATATAGCCAATATGCAGTGATAATGTATTGGGCCTATAACCTACTGCACAAACCTCATTACTACAGAAATGTTTTTAATTGGCTATTGTTGCATGGCTTACGTTTTTTAAGTCAGTAGATCTCTGCTTGCATTTTGACTCAGAAAGTGATCTTGCCTCAGGAAAGGTTGGTGACCACTGCTCTACAGGGCAAGTTGCAACACTGAGATATCATCATGAAATCAAAATGGTCCACAGACTCCTCACAAGAACCTGTTATCAGTAAAACAAGCACAATCTACTGTATGGTTAGACAATACTTGCTATATAAGCCATCTTGTGTTAGGGACACCCATTGGGCAACATTTTACCTTCTTGATCATGTCTGACAGTGACAGCTCACAATACAACAGAACCAAAGAGAGAGGAACTTTTCAATTTGTTTTCATACAGCTGTGCTAGTTAGATGACAGTTTATTTGGGAATCAATACTTACGTCTCTGAATTCCACCATACCCATTTCTCCCAGTTCGCTGATGCAGTCGTATGCTGATCCAGACTGCAGAAACAGCTGGGTCAAACACATCTCTTCACTTCGGAACAACGAGCCCATCTTGACAGCCTGCTCTTCTCCTCACACAATACAACCGGCTTGCTAGTTTCAGCTACAGCTAGCTAACGTTAGTCGTGAGCCCAAACCACTTCACTGGGTAGGCTTAGCTGACGGCTCCGGCGTCTTAGAAGTAGCTAACTAGCAGGCACGCAAGCTAGCAGCTAGCTAGCAAACTACCGGTGCATTCGCTTCAACACAGTGTCAATCATTGGCCCATCAGTGACACGTCTCCAGTCCAGTGAGTCTCAAGACGTTCCCGTCGAAGTGGTTGTTGGAGTCATCTTGCTGTAGCCATATTAACGTGGCTATCGATTTAGCGAACCAGAAGGTCCACTCTGTCACTAGCGCTAGTAGTTGGCTAGCTAACTTTAGCTTGCTACCTAGATGGTTTCGTGAACTCTTCTCAATCCAGTTGTGGTAGCTATCAGTAGAAACAATAACGTTTTGGTCGCTAACTATGACTATAAGCACATTTTAAACTTGAAACTTCAATAAATACCAACTTGCTTTAAATAATCATGCCCCCTTTGATATGGAGCTTGTAAGCAAGTTATGCCGCTTTCAAAACAACTCGGACATCTCCGATTTCAGTGCGTTCAATAAAACTGGTAACTCGGAAAAAAACGAGCTCTGATTAGGAAAAATCGTTTTGAACGGTCATCCAACTCCGCAAGTTTTCTTCTTCTTCTTTGGAGTTTAACGGCGGTTGGCATCCAATTTGTTGCATTACCGCCCCCAACTGGACTGTAATATAAATCCATTAAACTTTCGTGATACAAAATGGGAAAATGAAAAACAAAACTCAACAAACTCTACACTCATTAAAAACCCACTACCCCATTCCACTACTTTGACCCTATCTGCTCCTGCACCATGCCAACGGCCTGGGTGGACGGGACACCACCACTAAAAACACCCTGTAACTCTTCTGAAGTCAAATCTCGTATGCCCAAATACTTCTCTGCAGCTGCTACAACATCTATTTTCTGTGATTTACGTTCCATTTCTGCGGTACAGTTGATAACCATTGCTATGAACGCTAAGAAGCCAACCTTACTGAAGCACATGTCACTCGTTGGCCTATCCCTCTGTGCTGGCACAGATCTACTACTCACAGGGATCCTCTCAGAATTCCTCACCCTTGACCCATCATCCTCTACTTTCTTCACTGCCTCAGCATATGACACCTTCTGCACTACAATGACTCTAGCCACCTCAACCTGACTCTCTCACACCGGACACTTCCGATTCCCAGCAACATGGGCACCTCTACAGTTGACACACACAACTTTATCCACAGAAACTACACAATCCTCTATCTCATGCCCTCCTGCACACTTCCCACATCTTGGAATCTCCCTTTTACAAACTGCTGCGACATGACCATAAACATTGCAGCTGAAACAGCTCAGTGGATTTGGCACAAAAGTCTGCAAATAAAAGGACATTATCCCAGGTAGAGAGGAAGAGGCGAAGCCCACAAAGTGAGGGATTTTTGTGTGGAGGTCAATGAGTGTTGAATTTGGTCAAAAATGTAATTGCTCATTTGCTACGTGAGGCTTATTTGATCAAATATAAGTTTCATAATGTTTAGGTTGTTACGAATGCACTGATATGAGTGGCAACTTTTAAGAAAAAAAAACGACTTTATATCGGAGTTGTGCCTATTGTCATAGAGGACTCATCGTGGATATAACCCGCTTTAGCATGGGCATGGCCATTGAGGGCTTCCACCATTTTAAAGTAGTAAACTAGGTGGGGATTCCTTAGCCCAAGATGTACTGTTAAGGAGCCTACCGTTACTCCTTAAGGTCCAAGGACCTTATGTTATTTTCAGAGGTAGACTGGCTCTAGCAGCTAAAACAGCTAAACACTCCATCTAAACGTGAATCGATTCTCAATTGCAATACGGTTATAGTAACATAAAGCCCTTTACTTTCATATCACATCAAAATAATTTAACCAATGCAAAATATACACTTACTGTACACTGTTTTAACCGGCTTTATCACAGTTTATCACAGTATTTTTCAGTGACAACACGTTTCTGGCGGCCTTCTTCCATTACACACAGGTGTTCGGAGCATGCTAGATAGCTAATTAGCACAGGCTGTCCCTCTGTCTTCTGTCTGTCTTCTGTAAATACCTGCTGTAACATGAAGATATGGCCGTGTAGGAACACTAACCCTAATCCTATAAACGTGTGTATCAATTTAACCTTTTTTTTTTTTTGCTGATATGAACGATAAGATCCTTATGCTTCCAAAACCGTACTGAAAGCGATGCGTGTTCAGACCCAGGGCGGGGTTCCCAGGTGGTGAAGGTAGGCAACAACACCTCCGCTACACTGATCCTCAACACGGGGGCCCCACAAGGGTGCGTGCTCAGCTCCCTCCTGCACTCCGTTCACCAATGACTGCGTGGCCACGCACGTCTCCAACTCAATCAAGTTTGCAGACTGACAACAGCGGTAGGCCTGATTACCAACAATGACGAGACAGCCTACAGGGAGGAGGTGAGGGCCCTGGCGGAGTGATGCCAGGAAAATAACCTCTCCCCCAACGTCGACAAAACGAAGGAGTTGATTGTGGACTTCAGGAGACAGCAGAAGGAGCACGCCCCCATCCACATCGATGGGGCTGCAGTGAAGAGGGTGAAAAGCTTCAAGATCCTCGGCGTGCACATTACTGACAATCTGAAATGGTCCATACACACAGTGTGGTGAAGAAGGTGCAACAGTCTTGGCCCCTAAGACCCTCACAAACTTCTACAGATGCACCATTGAACTTTAGTCCGTTTCTAGCCGGCTCAACCCTGCACCTTAGAGACTGCTGCCCTATGTACATCATTTATATTTATTTTATTTTTGGGATTTGCGTGTATTGTTTTGTATTGTTAGGTTACTGCTCTGTTGGAGCTAGGAACATAAGCATTTCGCTACACCCGCGATAGCATCTGCAAAATATGTGTAAGCGACCAATAACATTTGTTTTCATTTGTTAATGTTCAGACCGAGCGTCGGGGCTCTAACACAACTCCCCAGTACAGAAGACGCCTTCGTCCAATGACTCATATGTAATGTATTGGAGCTGAGAGTCATGATCAAGGGCTAGGGGGATTCCTATGAGTTGGGCGCAATCAGCCAATAAAGAAGAAAATTAACTACTAAAGTTCAGTACTTTATCTGAAAGTTTTCCTTCCTCGCTTTTGTTATTGAGGTTACAGAGACTACCTTGTATTCTTGTTTATCTCCCTAATAAACCTTTATTTGACATGATCTGTGTAATCTGACTGACTTGTTTTGTACTGTATTTACACCAGAGTAGTCCATCCATCTTTCTAGATATGTACCCTCCTGTAAGTCTGCTAATTTGAAGTGAAAACTGTCCGGAGCATAGATATAATTATAAAACCATTTCAAAATTACAATAATGATGTCTATGCTAGATAAAGGAATGCACAAATATTGTTTCTTACACAAGTTTATTGTTGCCCACACAAACTTCCCTTATTTACATATGATTTATGTTTGGTTGTAGGCCACCCTCTCTCAACAACATTTCTGAGTACTCTGTAGGTTTTCACACTTTCCCGGGAACCACCAAGTCTGATGTAAAGGGAAAGCATTGTCTATTATATAGGGATTCCTATGAGTTGAGCGCAATCAGCCAATGAATAGGAAGAAAATGGACTACTATAAAATGGAGATAGCCTCAATGGCACTGCCCATGCCATCACAGATGCTATAATGGCACAGATACAAAGATGAGTCCTCTATCTCTATGCCTGTTGTTCACACACGTATCTGCCATCTCATTGGCTAGAATGGTCCCACCTGATCTCACCTCCTCCATCGTTAGAGCAGTCACTCGACTATCTCATCAATATAATAGACAATCTTTGTCCCAGTCCAGATTCACATTTCAAGTTAATCATACATTTGATTTTCCAAAAGGTAACAAAAACTTTATTACAAAATACAATCAACTTGATAATTTACATTCTTACAAACCATGAAAAAACCTGCTGAAACTGGTCAAGCTTACCACCTGAAAATGACTTCATTTCTTTACATCAATAACAATGTTCAGCCATTATTTTTCAAACAGCAGGATCAAGCAGATTCAAGCCTCAAGAGTTAGTGCATGTCAATTTGTCTGATTACTACCTCACTCTTTCTCAGATACCTGGGTTTAGAGAAAAGCACTTCTCCATGGCTGTTCGGATCGGTTTCCATGGAGTCCCGAGAATGGAGGCAGCGATGAAGGAAAAACCCCAGGATAAGGCCCTTGGCCAAAGACAATACGACTCACCTGGAGGTAGAAGGGTGAAGGGACAGCTTTAATCTTAGTGCCATCACCTATTTATCACATCTTGGGACAGCAGTGTCTCACCCGTGTAATATCTGCTGAGGGGGAAACAAGCTGGGGCCAGCACACATCATTCCTGTCGAAGTCATACTCTGTAAAGTTAATCTGAAACCTGAAGGACACCAGGGCAGAACCACATCAGAGTTTTATTCACTGCACTTACCAAACCTTTCAACGTAGTCATAAAAACATTACACTGAGGCTGTATATTTCAATTCTGAGGGCTTTAGAATGTCAGGGGTCACCTGGTTTTGGGTATTGAAGTGTTGATGGGGATATTAGTGAAGGTGATGGAGGAGGTGACATGGAAAGACTGAGTCCCAGTCGGGTCCAGGCAGGGTTGTTCGGATTTTTCGTTATTTAGCCCTCCGAAAAGGCTCACCAGGAAGCACACAATGTCATGACTCGTGTTTTGTCCTTAATTTTATTTTAAATCAAATGACCACAGGTCATAAACCTGAAATACAACAAACGAATAATGACACTATATTATTCATATATATAATGTAAATATATTATTCAAATAATATAATAATAATGTAAATAATGAAAATCAAATAAGCCTTCAACACCATCAAAAAAGTGGTAAATCTGGCTTAAAACAACATTGACTACATCACCCAGAATGCC